TATGCCGTCCTTTACCTTTTTTTTTCTGTTGAAACTTCAACTGAACCACAGAAATGTGCATGCAGCTGAGTAACAGTGTGGTCTTGCTGCAGCTATGTGAACCCTTTTTTCCTTCCTTTTGAGTCAGCTCTGAAACTTGCTATAAACTTCTTAGGTTCGAGACTTGTTTACGAGATGTGATGTTATTTAGTGCCAGTCATTTTCCCCTCCCCACTTCTCAAGTGCCACAAACCGATGCAGATCAAGCTACTGTCATGTTGGCAGTCTTAAATGTTGGCTGGCTGCAGACAACTCTCAGAAAACCTATAAACCCCAGTTTTTTCCTTCTTGTTAATTACTTTGGTGCTAGCCTACTCAAGATTCTTTTTCTCTCTCCTGATGTTCTTCCAGTGTGGATCAAAAATCAAAGTTGCTGGCTTAAAGCAAAACCAAACTTTCTTTCCAGTAGACTGTGAAGCCAAAGCAGCTAAACATCAGCCAGGCTCTTGTATATTCGTGGTGCTGTTGATTTAGGCTCCAGTTAGTTGCGTGGAAGGTGGTAGGTTTGACCTTTTGATGGTTTGGTTTGGAGGTTTGACCTTTTGATGGTTTGGTTTGGAGGCTGTTTAGTGCTGGTTGGGATAGGAGGGAGTGAAAAAGGCAGCCTGGGATCAGAGTTGGCCCAGCTACTTTTTCAGAACTGACACCACAAGGATGGCCTTTCCCTTTGGGAACTTGGAGAGGGTGGTGGGTAGGTCTGGAGGGGAGTTATTTTCTGCTCAAATTGCTTTGTCCTTTCTAATGTTGCTCTTGCTGTCTTTTAGTACAGCAGCTTTCCCTCCGTCACCTTGCTTATATCCTCTGTGTTGCAACTGATTCTGGACTCCTTAGACCTTCTAGCATGCTTCTCTTGCCCTACATGTCTCTGTTTGAGTGGCTGAAAACCACCTGGAAGCACAGGTCACCTCCTGAGTGAAGCAGTGTGCAGCTGAGGTTTCAGGTTGAGAAGAAACAGACAATGCTAGACAAGAGCTGGTTTAGCAAAGCAGGGCTCAGCTCTGCTGCAGGGAGGAAGGAGCTGAGGAGTGGATGCACCAAAAGGAATGCTAGGACCCAGGGAAGCTCCCAACCAGCTGCAGGAAGAGGTTTGTTTTTCTTTGTCTGGTTCTTATTTCTGCTGCCCCAGCCCAGCTTATCTGGACAGCCAGGGCTGAGTGTGACGTCTCTGCTCCTTCCTCTGGGCCAGCCTGATCTCTGTCCCGCTGCTCTGGGAGGCAGACTCGGCGTGCAGTGCCTGATACCAGTGGTTTTGGCGTTAGAGATAGCTCCAGAGCAAGTTCATCCCAGCTGAACAGGGAGCATTGACCAGTTTGTGGTCATGAGATGAGATCCTGTTCTCTCCCAGGTCTGCCTTCCAGTGAGCACGGGTGTCCTAACCCACCAGTCCTCGGCCAGCTTGAGCTCTGGATAACACAGGGGTAGGAATTAGTAGGGAAGAAATTTACCGTGGCAATCTCTGATCTCTAAGAGGTGGAAGTGAAGGATTTCAGTGATGGTGGAGCCTGTAAATGGACAGAAGATCATCTAGAGCACACATGTGAAAGAGCACCCCTCTGAAAGAGGGGAGGTTTAGATGAGATATTAGGAAGAAGTTCTTCACTGTGAGGGTGGTCAGACACTGGAACAGGTTGCCCAAGGAAGTTGTAGATGCCCCCTCCCTGGAAGTGTTGAAGGCCAGGCTGGATGAGGCTTTGAGCAACCTGGTCTAGTGGAAGGTGTCCCTGCTGATGGCAGGGGGGTTGGAACTGGATGAGCTTTAAGGTCCCTTCCAACCCAAACCATTCCATGCTTCTATGATTCTATGTAGCTGGTTTGTAGCCCTTCTGTTCTCAGCACCACGTAGCTCCCGCTGCGGTGATGACATGCAGAGTTCAAATTGTCTGTGTAAGTCACTGACTTGTATAAAATACAGAATCCAGCAGTTTCTTTTCCTTTAATAAATTACACTTTCATGCTGAAGCTTAAAGCAAAAACACTGTCCTTGCAGCTTTCCTTGTTCTTCCACTACTGTAGGCTAAAATTTTCTTTCCATCTTAAAAAATCTTAATGCAGTCTTGAACATGACATGGGCTTTTTGTGACAAATAACATGATGGCTTGAAGCATATCCATGTGTTCTAGAAAGCTGCTTCTGAAAAAAAATGACTGCTAATAGTTGCTTTCTAATCCGTTCAAATTGCTTTTATCCCAGCATGGCTCTGAGTATAAGGTACCTGAAAACTTGGTATTCTCTTCTAAAGTGCGACTGACAAACCTGAATAGAAAAGGTTTTTAAAGTGGGTTCCAGATTTGTCATCTAGAAAGGTGCAGGCCTTTTCTTAAATGCTAAAGGAGTGGTGGTCCTGTTCAGCTTTGAGGGTGAAGCTTTCACTTGGTGTGGTGGCTCTTCTCCTGCCAAATCTTTACTCCCTTGTCCCATCCACAGCTCCCTTCTCAAATATGTGTGGCATTTATTTCCTGCCTTTCTCAGGTTGGTAATTATTGTTGTAGTCTATCAAATTATGTTGCCTTAGGGATGGAGCTGTCCTGATGATGAAGGTAATGCCTCTGCTTAAAGACTAAACCATCCTGGAATCTATGTGAAAAGAGCAGTTCCTGGGAGAGCTTCCAGTGTTTTGTCATGTCCTGCAGTACCTTTCTGGTATTTCTGGCACTACCTGTTCCTTGCTTGGTCTTTGTGGAATCAGACAGATCCCATATTGGTGCAGGATGAGCAAGAGCTTTATAATGTACAATAAAAACAGATAGTGAACAGAAATAGGTTGCCCAGAGAAGTTGTGGCTGCTCCTTCCAGGAAGTGTTCTTGGCCAGGTTGGATGAGGCTTTGAGCAACCTGGTCTAGTGGAAGGTGTCCCTGCTGCTGGCAGGGGGGTTGGAACTGGATGAGCTTTAAGGTCCCTTCAAACCCAAACCAGTCTGGGATTCTATGATTCTATGAAAAATGGAAATGCACATCCTAGAAGAGCACGGGTCTAAACGGAGCCAGATGTAGGGTTGCCATGTTGCCTCTGGGCTTGATTGCTCCTATTGAGATTAACTAACTCCCATTGAAATGAACCAATGCTCATGATCCCTAAATATCCACATCTTCAGGGTTGAAACAAACCTCCTGAACTTGAGCAGTTTGTTAGAACAAAACCAACTCCTGAAAAATACCCAGTTGCTTTCTGAAGGTAATGAGTGCTGCTGCTCTTAATGCTTTTGTTAATTAATGTAAATATCCCTACGTGCTTATGAGGACCCAAAGTGTTCCCCTGCTAGGTGTTTGGTTCCATTTTTGCTTTCTCCTAGACAATATGTCTGGTTTTGGTCAGACACTGGAACAAGTTGCTCAAGGAAGTTGTGGCTGCTCCTCCATGGAAGTTTTCGAAACCAGGTTGGATGAGGCTTTGAGCAACCTGGTCTAGTGGAAGATGACCCTGCTGATGGCAGGGGGGTTGGAACTGGATGATCTTTCAGGTCCCTCCCAACCCAAACCAGTCTATAATTCT